AAAATGTCACTGAAACATCACAGAGAGGCAGCAGATCTGCGCGGTGGGTTGTCATTCATTCAGAGAAGCACATTCCACAGGCTGCAGATGTGTGAATCAGCATAGCATCTGTGGCCGTAGACATGGACTCTGACCTCTGAATCTACCCAAACCTTGCAAACGCAGGCCAAAGCCCCAAGTCAACAGGGCACAGATTTAGCTTTACATCAACCTGCCTTACAATGTTTACCTAAAATGATTTGCTGAACATGAATAGCCTTCAGAAAAAAAGACAAGACTCAGTATAAAAGACTGTGCCTTAACCTGGCATCTTAAGATTTCACAGTGTGGAAATCTGGAGAATGTCTTAGAAGAATAATAAAGATTAACAGTTCAGCATCAGACATAGAATGCTCTGCTGGGACTGTGTTCACGCCTGTTGCTCTATGTTTCCAATTAACTTGATCTTGGAGCAATGGATGCTGTCCAAAGATTTACATAAATAGCAAATACAGTGAAAAGTACAGATTTCCTGGAGTGTTTTAATTTAACATTAACCAGACACATTTGCAATAAAGGCTGAATTAAAAGTCTGGTGCCTTAAAGCAAGGAAACCATTTACAATGGGGAACTTCCTATCTAGAAGGAATACGCCCCAAGAGATTCATATGTCGGCTTGTAACTATTCAATATGCCCAATATTTTAAATGCCTTTAGCCATGTCAAGCCCTATGGTGCATTCATCAGTCATTGGTATGAAAATCTGGTTATTAGGTTCCCCAAGGAATATGTATTTATTACATGTCCACGTTAGCATAACCTGCGGGGCCTGCTCAGGCCCAAAGTCTATTGAAATGAATAGAATTCTTCCTGAAGAAGGTATCCTTCTGTTTAGTTAGCCACCAAGTACTCAGATGGTGCTTTTCGCTCACAAATCTCCCAGTGCTCCACAGTGGTTGGGGAGCTCTGGTTCAATGGGAAAGCAGACACAGAAGTAAACTGAGCTGGTAAAATTCATGCTTGGAAGCGGACAAGCAAGAGCAGGGCCTGGCAGAGACACGGTCGAGGGCCCAGTCTGCTGGGTCATGCTGTCATACAAGAAGGAAGGGAAAAACATTTCAGTCAACACGACTTTGGAGGGCAAAGGTAGGGATGAATTTTCATAAAAATATGTACAAATAGTCGGGTCTAGGCAGGCTCCATTTTGGAGGTTCATCTTTCTCTTCACTTGTCTCTATACATGACTACTATATTGGCACCCTCCTAAATCATTTCATATTGGACTAGTCATGCATTTTGCTCAGAAAGCTGGGATATTATACACTGAAAAGGGAACAGTACATTTTAACAGATTCATCTATTTCATTAAGAACTGGTAACTTCTCATGGGAAACAATCTCACTGAGTCTGCTGAGAGCCTATATTCTTTTTTCCTGCTTCCCTGTTCTTTGTTTATTAAGATGATCTGCATCACAGCAAGGTTTTCTTCCTGGAAGTTCATTAGTTCCACTTCCTTCTCCTTCATTTGAACTCACAAGCTGCTGACTGTGAAATCACAATTCATCGATGAAAGAGAGAATATTTTCAATAAAACAATGAAAAGGAAGAATGTCTAAGGCCAGAATGAAGCATCAAGTTTTCAAACAAAACAAGATATTGCGCTTAAAGGTATAAAAATTATATTTTCTGAAGATTTATAAAGAAAACTGGATCTTTAACCAATGCTGGTATTTTCTGGCACTTCCAAGGACTTTTTCTGCAGGTTGCTGGGAAATCCTTACTCTGGACATTTTCAAGAGCTCTCTTAGATTTCTCCTAGGAATTCTTTCTAGGAATTACAGCAGTCCATTTTAGCAATACTCCTGAGGCTTTCTAGGAATTAATCTTCTGGCTTCTAGTAATTCATTCACTGCTCTCTGGGAATTTCCCCACTACTTTCTACGGCTTGCCCATCTACACTCTAGAAATCCTTATACTTTCCAGAAATTCACCTGGCACTTTCTAGGAATGTCTGGTCTTTAGGAATTTTTCCTACACTTTCTTCAAACTTTGACAGAGTGTACTAGAATTCACATGCTGCGTTCTGGGGATGTCCCTGATGCTTTCTAGTAATTCTCCCCTCACTTTCTAAGAATTTTTTTTGCAGCTTTCTAGAAATTCTCCAGTTCCTTTATAGAAATCTTTCCACCCTTTCTTGGACTCACCATCAGGGAGCAGTAAGAGAAGGGCTGCTTGGTGAGGGAAGCTGTGAACAACCACAGCACAGGCAGGACCACAATTCATGGCACCGGGTTGGGGCAAGCGGAGCATAGGTGGGAGAGCGGCTGGTTCCATCAACACCCCAGCCATCGTCAGACAAACACAAGGTAGCAGGTCGTGTCCAAAATCAGTCCTAGAAATGCAAATGAGTATTCAGGAACAGCAGGGAACAGGTTTGAAAGAGGCACACCTACTCAGTGTAGCTCACACAGGCACATTTGGAGGATTAGAAAGCACTCTCATTGAATAATTTCGACATTAAATGTTTTGTAAAATAACCTAATTAGAATCTCTGTATTCCCTATCAAATGATGAATTGCTATAGATTTCTAAGACGGGAAATTCTGAAATATTAATTTTAGAATTTCCCATTTATAATGCATTACAGAATTTATTTAGTAACGGGATGTAGGCAAATTGTTTCTTCTGCCCTCTGGAAATGCGTGACAAGTTATTCCAATACAAAATTATTTCAGTATAAACTTAATTGAAAGTTATGGTATCTCAGATTGTACCTTCTTCTGTTTAGTATATTATGTAGATATCTTACTGGTCATACAACATTTAAACCATGCGCTACAGCTCATTTTCATCATTCCTGTTTAGTCCATGTGGTAGAAAATAATCGTTAAAGGTTCCACTACAGGATTCTTACACTTCCTGAAGTTTAAGTTTGGTTAGTACAAATGTTTGATACGGTTTTTATTACTACTGAAGTGTTATTGAGTTCCTTTGCTAATTATAGACAGCTGGCCAACCAATGTTTTTCAAAATATGTTTGAATGCCCTTGGATTCACATAAAGTCCAAGTTAATGTCCGGTGTGGGAGTGAAGATTAAATTTTAAGTCCTGTCTTGACATTTTAGGTTTATCCTCATTGCATAATGAAATATAAGGCACGTATTACATAAAAGCACGTTTTTGCTAAGAGCTTCTACTGCTTTAAATTTCATTATTTAGTGTTTCATATTTAAAAGGTGGGGACCAGTAAGTATTTAGCACATACACAGTTAAGAGAACAAACCTTCCTACACATCATTTGTCAGCTGCTACACAAGCTGTTGAAATACTTGCATGTATCATTTTCATTGCTGTGTGTTGGATACTAAAGTTTGGACATTCCTCACTATAAAATCACTACAAAAGTAAGGTAGAGACAGAATTCTACTGCAGAAGACAGAATTATTCACTACCTCTTGGTATGACATATACTGCAATTGCTCTTGCAACTCTAATGGTGAAGCAGAAACCAGGACTCCATAAACTGGGACTCCATAAACTGTTCCCCTCAGCCAGGTTAGCTGAAACACGTTATGCACTAAATCCATCTTAAAAGGATACTTGTCAGCTTCTTTAGATCTCAGACTCTGTGAACTATCTAACCCACATCTGAGGTCCCACAATGTTAAGATGTGAAAGATAAACGTTCTAATGAAGGATTTTTTTCTAAAGTTTTGCACTGATTATGAAGGAACTGTAAGTTATTTTATTCAGCCTCCGATATAATATGTTTTTGGAGTTTCTCTTCAGGATATGTCCTACATTTAAGACCATAAAAATGAAAATGTAATACATTTAAATGTAAAGTACTGATACTTTAAAAATACTTGTTCTAATAACTTTAATGCTATATTCTTGGAGACAGTTGTTCATACTGTGTACAGGAAGATGTTTAAAACTGTTTATGTAGAAATGGCTTATGAGTCATTCACACTAATCTTTGCTACAGGTCCTCTAGGAGTAAAAAACTGAGAGACAAAATCCTTTCTATTCAGCATATGCTTATGGCCATCTAGAAAGCTATGGCATAGCTCAGTTTTACTATCACCAGGCTCTTGATGTATTTGCGAAGACAGTTACAAAACTGCCTTTAGCAAACACAATTTCAAATTTCTAGTAAAACATCATTTCCAGCTCTTTATAGATCATTTCTATTAGTCTACAACAGACTGAAACCCAGAGTACAAAAAAGCCCAGGTGCCAAATAAGTTATGAAAAATGTCTTCAAGAAATTGAGATGTTTTTGATAACGATCACTTGATTAGTATTCTTCTGAGATTATGACTCTCTGACTAAATCAGCAACCTACCAAAAAACTAGCGAAAGTCTTCAAAAGCATATAGGCTTGATTCTGTTTTCGCTTGCAATGTATTAAATCAGGAGTAAGTCCAATGAAAGCATTAAGGTTGCACTAACGTAAAACTTGTATAAGCGAATAGACAATCAAGGCAATATTTCTACTGAATTGGGTATTTTTCTCTTCAGAATGCATACTGAGAAAACTTTAGGTTTACAACATGTACGTGTGAAATAGCTGTGATACTCCATTTTTTAATCCTCTGAATCCATATTCACATGATGAATCTACATTCTCACAAAAGAACAAATACCCACAAACACACATGTGGGTGTTTTCTGGTGTCTACAGAATTCAGAAAAATGAAAAGTAGACAAAGCAGCATTTTTGGCGTATGAATATGCTTGCCAGGATTTAGAACAAAACATTTCCTTGCCAGGCTCTCCTCCTTTCCCAAGTCAGAAACAAACGTCATAAAATACTCTTACATAACTGCCAACCAGATTTTCTTTTTAAATATAATTCAATCTTTGTGTTATAGCCAAAACTATTCTGTTTGACACATATCTTCTCATCCTCTCTCCATGTTTGATTACACAACAAGCTCCTAATTTAAAGACCATTGAAATCAATGGAAACATTCGTATTCATTGCAAATGAAATGTTTTCCATTTGAATTACAGAGATGGATATAGTGTGGCCTCCTGCAGATTATCAGTGGAGCCAGTGGCAGATCTGTCAAGACCTGGGTGCTACTTACCTCTCCCTAGGTGACACAGAGCTGGCCATCTCCTATTGCAAACAGGTACCGCCTGTATTTGAAGAGTCAAAGGTACTTTTTGTTTGCTCTCCCTATTTGTTCTGTAATGCACATAGAGGATGGAAGATGGAGGGGTTTCTGTAGGCATTGGAAAATAACATGAGCCACAGCTTGCTCCCTGCACAGGACTCCATTTACTTCAATAAAATTGCACACACCTAACTGCGCAAACTGAGCCTTCAGCTGCACCTTTCTAAATAAAACCCTTCCTCCCACACAGTATCAATCAGCTGAATGGTGATGCAAAGAACTTTCCAGGAGAGGTTAGTTTAAAGGAATGACGATACCCTCCAGCTTGTCTTTCTTTCTTTTACAAAAGTAATTATTTCACACTCTGCCTACTGAAATGCATTCTGCGGCCCCTAGATTTTAAGACAATTGTGTAACAATTTAATGTCAATAAATGGAGTTCTTAACAGCCAGCTAGGAAATCTCACTGTCCATTATTAATTAGCAAAAGAGTATCTTATGTAGAACGTAGATCATCTGGAGCATCAGGTACTGATTTTAAAAATAAAAGCACCATAGTACTGATTTTTACATATTTTGCAAGGCAGAGTTACAGTTACAAAACTCACAGAGATGGTCCTCAGGGGTAGTCTCAAAGAGACAACACTACTCACAAGAATGGGAAATACATGCCCTGTATTTCAGAGAAAGGGTGTACCATGTGTGCTGAAAAGATGAGATAAAAAGGTGTTCAAAGAACACTTTGTAAAAAGGGGTTGAGACAAGACCATAGCTGGCAGTGTGGCTTTGGACTATTCTACTTTACAGAGCACACTCTGATCTGCACTTCACACAATAAAAGTATGAGTGAAAAAATTTCCTCTCTGAAATGCACTGGAGCCTCTGCTGGTTATAAAGCCGTGAAAAGTGAAATGAAATGGACTTTTTTATTTTAAAAAATCTAACATTAACTTCACCACAATAGCAACTACACCACTGTGATCAGTAATGAGGCATTTTACATTTGGATTTTCCTCACAAGAAATACTCAGCAATTTAGAAATTCTCATTTCTTTCTTTTCTGAACAGGATGGCTTTTCATAGGTAAAGCTTCTCTAACTCTAGGGCAAGGGAAAGAATTATGAGACAGACATTATACAGAAAGGACAGCACACTTTAAAATTATGGCTAATTTGCTGGACCTCCTGTCCCAGTCTCCCCACAGTTGCTGAAAAGCAGCACTGGTGCTTAGAGAGGGTAGGTAAGCAGCAGCTGCTCCATCTGGGTTCCTCCGCAGTGCCAACAAGAGGTGTGACTGTAGCAGAGGCAATCTAGGTTTTACGTCAGCTGTTTCGGATACTAATAGTAGCAGTGGCACAGACCATGTAAGCCTTTTGGGAAGTCAAGTGACTCAAGCAGCTAACTTGTGCAAAAGTCCCTTGGTTTCCCAGTTTGCTATACAGCAAGCTTGGGGTGCTGCAGTCAAAGCTCCTATCGGCAATGTAAGCAATGTAACTGGTCGTTTGTGCCGCACGTTACTTTCATTGCGCTGGAGAATGAGAGATTGGGAGGACCCCTGAGAGCTCCTAAATTGATCGCTTCCACTGGTTCAACTTTAATGTAAATGAGCTGATGCCACCAAAAAATAAGAAAGTAACTTGAACATTGACTCTCAGTATCAGTTAACATAAATTAAAATGTGCGTAGCTTATCTGCATATCTAAAATTTAATCTTTTTCAGTGGACTTACGACTCACGTGACAACCTGAATAATACATGGGGAGATTTCGGCCTGAAGAGTAATCACAGCTGGGCCAACTAGTGTCTAGAACCTTTTGTTACAGACAGCCTTTCCCGCCATAAAGCTCACTGGAAGATACTTATCGCATTGTGAAGCACATTCTATCATACCATTTGGCCAGTGGATGGATAAGCATTTTGTCCCATCTTACTCATCCTTAATTAAAAACAAAAACCAACAGGAGCACATTCTTCTGATTACAGCCACTTTCCAACACTTGCATTAATTATACAGACAGTGGAGGTTATGCTTTCTACTGATCCATGATCAGTATCAATAACTAGTATCTCATGCAAAATATAGACTACCTAGGAAGTTCACTGTCACAGCAGACAGCAGAAATAAACAGGCTTTTAAAAGAGTTGGATTTATTAGTTCTATATGGCTGAAAAACACTCTTCTTGCCCTAATGAATGAGATGCAATTTAAAAGAAAATAAAAACCACAACAAAGTAAAGAGATAACAAAAGAATTCTCTTCCTCAGAGAAAGCTTTATAAACAGAGTGGTTTCTGGAAAAGAAAGTTTGGAAGCATAAACATGGAATCTGCCTACTGTGTTGAGAGGAACAGTGTTTTGCCTACATTTTTTGGTGAATAAAAAGGATTTAAGTAATTAACCATCCGGCTTCAGCACCGATTTCTTTTTGTAATGGAAACAGCTTGCAAAACCCTGAACATACAGAGAGTGCAGGCTGATGTCTACAAGTTTCAATAAAATACTCAGTACTGTTATATTTGAGAACTGAATATTTGTCTAATGACAGAATGCAATAAATTGCTTCTTCCTCTTGTTTAGGAAGGATTGTGAAGACTGGATTGTGAGATGTCCTTATTTGCCCTATCAGGCAGTTTGCCAGTATGCTTTGAGTCCTTAACACAGTAGTCATTGGCTTTCTGCTTTATAGAAACATTTAAAAGACTGCGGTAAACTAGGAAGTAATTTTTCTGTGTTTTCCAGCATTAGGTTATTCTCTGGCCACCACTACAACATATTCTGTAGGTAGTCTTTACTAACTGATCCCCCTGCCCTGTTTTCATAACAGTGGTTCAAAGTGAATGACCCGCCTAGCACCCCACATATCAAGCTCTAGGCCAGAACCAAGGAGTAAAATCCTGACCTAGAGTTCTTGAAGAATTGGAATTGGGGCATTTTGCTTAGACCCAGCATGATGCCTTTGCTTCCATTTATAATCTGTTACTGGATGATGGGAGAGAAGGAGGAGGAGCTGGGGAGGGGTGGAGGAGATGAAAACCAATGTTTCTCTTGGACTCACACTTGAAGATAAAACTCTCTACAGTTTGGAGTCTCATTTCTCTTCTAAATTTTCTATTTCCTACAGTATTACCTCTAAAACCCCATAGACATGCAACCCAGTTGCACACAAAACACTTCAACCTGAGTCCAAGCCTGAATTTAATCACGTGATTGTCCTGGTTTGAACGACACAGGACTAATTTCTCTTTTAATGCTTGGGAAAACTGCATTTTTAGAAGACTCTAGTGTCTGAATTTGTGAAAATATTTACTTTGCAGCCAGCTATGGTGTGTGGATTTCAAGGTCTCTGTGTTTTTTGAGCTTGCCAGGTGCAGGGATGAGGAGGACCAAGACCTGGGCACTTGACCCAAGCTGGCCAACAGGATTATTTCATACCACGAATGTCACATTCAATAGATATTAGAAAATTTGCTGTGAAGTGCTGTGTCCCTTGATGGTGGTGACCCAGAGAACTTCTTGCCCCAGTGCTGGACCCCCGAGCCCTTCCTTTCCTCCTGAAGCTGTAGCACTCGCAGCGTCCGATATTTGCTGTCCACTGCTGGGAGTGCAGCACAGCTTCCTACTGATAGAATTGGCTGGGTATAATCCTTGTATATTTTACATTGCTATCGGGATCAATATTGGTTCTTTAGTGCTATTAACATTAATTACCTAGTCTTATTCTACTAAATCTGTTTATATTTCAACCCCTGGGTTTCCTTGGTTTTTTCCGATTCCCCTTCCTGGCTGGGGAAGCATCACTGGGTGATAGAAAAACTATCTAAACGACAATAAACTGTTGTGGGTTTTCTAAAACCATAACAGTTGTTCAACATAGATTAGTTTTGTACAAACACAACCCCATCAGTCAGTTCTGAAGTGTCATCAGATATCTTTGCCAATCAGGAAATCAGTTGTCTCTCCATATAAAGGTGCAATTATATTTTCTGTCATTAAAACTTACTGTCAAACCTTACTGATTATCATTGAAACTTACTATGGAAATAATAATTCTTTAAAATAAGAGATGTATCATGAAAAACCATCAGAAACTGCGATCCAATCCTTAGTGTGCAAGATTGTTTAAAAATATTTTGCTTTCTAGGAAAAAATACGTAGATAGAAACTACCTCCAAGACAAATATAGTTCTGTTACATATGAACAGCAAATTTAGTAAGCTATAGTCATATTTTCAGTTGATTATATGTAAGAGCCCTAAAATATCCATCTCCTGTGTAAAACTGCTCTTGGCAACATACAAACTTCAGTGCTCCTGTCAAATATGACTTATTAATATTAAGTTACTATCGTTGAAGAGACTCAAAGCTGATGAATGCACATGGAATGAAATAAAACATAACAAAGACACTATATATTCAAACTAAGGAGCAACAGACATTTCAGAGATTGCTGAAATTTGTACTATTTCAGCACTTCATGCCATCAAATTCTAATCCTTATATTCCCTCAAGCGGGAATTGTATTTAAAAAAATATTAAATCTCAAGAAAATATAAAACACAAAAGAAAAAGATAAGGGAAACTTTGATACACACAGAAAACACCAAGAGTAGCAAAATTTGTGCTAACAATTAAAAATGAAAAAAAATAATTAATAAAAAGTTTTCATCAGGATACAAAGATGGGAAGTATTCCCAACCCTGGAAGCACCATGCTGCTCCATGCATTGGTGAGAGAAGCAGCACTACCATTCCAGGTGTCTGTCAGAGTAGCTGTGTCAGTTGATGTGATCCTGACTGAGCAGCTCTGCTGGCTGATGCCCCATGTAAACTGGGCTTCGGCCATAGTTACTGTCTGAAACACAGGATAGCTCTGCTGTACTGATACACACTGTATTAACTGCTTCCACTCCTGCATGCCGGTGTTCTTAGTGAAGCTACGGAGAAAATGGTTATGCTGATTTAGAAAAAAGGCTACACAGCATGACCATGTCAGCTTTTAAAAGGTGAAACACGTTGTCTAACAAATACAATTTGTGCATATGGGACAGTGGTGACATAGAATTGTCCTCTCCAAAGTCTTCCAAATGCACCACTTCTGAGAGAGAAAGACTAAATTGAACTGTTTTAACAATACTTGTTTTCACTTTCTTTCCCTTCAATCTGAGCAGCATACCAGCTTCTCCATCTCCTGTGCATGATCAATTCAATTACCTGTCATTAGAAGACTATTTTTAAAATGTCTCACAATATCAAGCTCCTTAGTAGCATTTTCCATCTCAAAACAGCAACATTTTGTAAGAACAGACTTAATAACGCACTGCTGGAAAGCCACGCGGAAACAAAAGTTTTCCCTGTGTTGTCCCTAGTTCGCAGACAGAAAAACTCAAGCCAAGAAGCATTAGGTTCACAGAGTTGGTCAGTATTAAATCTGGAATTAAAATCTAGGGTCAGAAATCCTTGCCCATTGAAGTAAATTTTAATATTTCAGACTGCGGTGGGACCCAGTTCTCATGTTAGAACATGACTTGCCCTGTGTTCGAGGGATGCGCTGTTCTCTGAGAGACAAGTGCCACCTAAAAGCAGACTTTTTTAAAAGCCATGTTCCTTTCAAAATTACATGGCATTTGCTTTTATTGCCGCACCTGTATTGCCTTGAACTTCACAGGCTGTGCACAGCATTGCTCTGGGGCCAACTACTCGAGTTTCAGTCATGTCTCTGTGTAGCCACTAGATGTCGCTTTATTAAGATTTTTTCCCCTAGTCTGTGAGTTTTGTTAGTTTTAGTAGGTAACTTCTTAACCTCATTCTCATTTTAAATCTTTTTAAATGGGAACTGGTGATGCTGATGAATATTTTACCTAATTTAATGATTATGATTATTCCATATTCCAAAATCTGAGCTCTTAAAACACTGTGGCAAAGGTTAAATCATCCCCTATATTCAGAAAGCGCAAACGTCACCTAAATTTGCCTATCACATCCATAATTTGGGATCAGAATTTTAGCTCCACAAAGTCACACTTTCGCTTGTTTTGTAATTCTGTTGCGACTTAGGGAATTACAGAACTGGGAAACACTTGGCCCTTGGCGTGCAGGGGCAGCATGGCTGATGAGAGTGAGAGTGTGGTGATCCCAGAAGAAAACCATGAAGCCTCAGCTACCAGTTCTCATTCTTCTTTTGCTCTGTTCATATGATGAGTCAGAAATGAGGGACCAGAGAATGAAAAGCAGAGAAATGAACACACTGAGAAAAAAAAGCACTGCCACTTGCAGAGCAGACGGTGTCATTTTGTCCTGCTGTAAGTGACAGAAATGCTGTCAAGCACAGCGTTTACGGTTTAAAAGCTCCATATATTTTATCCTCAGGGTGATAACTCTCAGCTTTCTGATGCTTTTGACTTTGAACTTGGACGAAAAGTTCGTCTTTACAGAAGGTTACCCAGTTTGAAAAGCATTCTCCCATACAGCCAGACAGAAATCTTTGCACAATTTTGGTACCAATATTTAAGAAAGCTGAAATCAAAGTAGAAATAATAATCAGGGGAAAGGTGAGTCCATCTTACACGAGGAGGCTCTGACGTCTTCTTTGCTTATCCTGATAGTACAAAGAGCATGCTTCTTTTCTTTGAATACATCAAGGTGAGGGGTAAAAACTAGAGCAGAGAAGAAGCTGTAAAAAGTTTTCCCAACTAAAAGTAGGGGACAGTTGGGAAATCAGAAGGTTTCTACCTGGCAGGCCAGTGAAGTTCCCCCCAGGAGAGTACAACATGCAAGAAACTCTACTCGTTATTAAGCAGGCCTTGATAGTTGTAGATAGGAGAGGGATAACACGACATGGACGCCTGCAGAGATCCAACACTAGCATCTAGTCTGCACTTTCACCTGATGACAGCTTAGCCGCCACCATGAAGGAGACCTGGCACGGAGATTTATTACTAAGCCCTGGGGCTGGCAGACAACAGAAACATAAAATATTGGGGGAAATTCTAAGGGCTGCAGAATATTCAAAATACATGCAGAATGAAGAGATCTTATGTGGCGTTGCTGGTTTACTCCAAACCATTGTGCACTTCAAAGTAATGACTATGCCAACTCTCTTGGGATGTTAGTCCCACCCTAGCAGCTGTAAACTCCTTTCTAAAGAGTTAATTGTCTTGTCTGCCTCAGTTCAGCTGATTATTCTAGTTTCCAGTAATTAAGATTGCATTTTATGATTCTCAGCCTTATTAAATTAATGTTTACAGTTTTGTATGCTACAAAAATAATCCTTGTCATCACTTTAATTAAATTATTCATAAATGGCATTGGTTCCACTTCAGATGTATGTATAATGAGAACAGGACCAAGCAGACGCATCATTCATCATAAATTTTGATGTATTTTTTCTGTTAATTGGAGATACATGGAACCATGCACAGCAGATGAAAATCTTTCTAATTTATCTTCCTGTTTTCTGAAAAAAAAAATCTTTCTTCTTCAGGCTAAAACAAGGAAATAATTCTTTATTCATCTTTACACCTCATTTCAGGCAATTTTTTCCAGCCCTGCCATAGTTCTGAGAGTCTCCTTGCCTAGATGCCTTGGTATGCTGCAAAACACACTGAGAATAATGAGGAGGCAGCTTTTTCCCCAGTGCTGTCACACATACATTGTCAGCACTGTAGTACAAAACCAGATTAAGTCTGATACTCTCTCCTGTTACCCTCTCCTGTTACAAGGCTATCCAGAGCACATCCCAACACATGTGAATTTTAATTTTTTTTTTAATGTTATTCCTTGCAACCAGAAGATTGACCGTTTTAATAACACAGTTGTAAAGCAATCGGCCAAATTCAGCCATCTCACTGTGGCCAATAGGGCTTATCCAATCTACGCTGTTATAACGGAGCCATTTCTGACTCACACTAGGGAAATCAAGCAAAATTTGGCCCATAGTCCAAAAGGTAAAATGCTTTGGGACATTTTCTGTCCTGCAAATTCATCATCTCCCTGGTGGAGAATAGGTTAGTGAGATCTCACACTCAAGTGTACTAACCTCCCCCCCACAACAGAGTCTGCTTTGGGGGACAGGAAAAGGGACTGCAACTAGTGCGCAGCTAAAAGCACTGGCTTGTTAATTTATTGTGGGACTGGGACAGAGCATCAGAAAAGCTTCCCCCCCTGCATAGTCAGAAAGTGATACGGCAATTTACTGTTCGTTTTGAAGTGGGAGGTGAACTGCGATAGAAATAAACTGAAGTGTGATCCAAATTTAAAATAACATGGAGAGCTACATCTTGAAAGGTTGGATTTAAAATTGTTCCCTTTCCTTTCTGAGCACACACTAAAATGCCCTCTATTATAAATAAAAGTAGTAATCTTGCTTTGCTTCTTTTTCCTCTTAAATGATCCTTTCCACTCTGATGTCTAGTTTAGATCCAAACAGTTGCAATAAAACACCATAGTGTCCAGGTACAATAAAGACGGGCTTCAGCACAATGTTAATGTGCACAGTAGATCCATGGGAATCTAATTTTCCAGTACATCTGAGGTGCCATCTCAAATCAAGACATGGTAGTTGAGTTCTTTCATTAGAATTGATCATTTTCATTGATGGTGGCTTGTGGGAGGGAGGAGAGGAGTAAGATGGCCATCTCTAAGGAGTAAAGGCACGTTTACACGCATCACCTAAGAGAATACAACATAAAGCAAAAACAATCCACAAATATCTACAAATTCCAGGTAGCACCAAAATGTATGGCAGATGCTTCATCTTCCTGCCACCAGGTTATTTCCACAAGTGATGAATGAAATCTACCTTCTACAATGACAACTCATTGCCTAGTTTAGCTGGAAAATCTCATGCAGCTGTCCTTACAGCTTTCGCTGTGCGGGGCAGTTACCCTGCTACCACCTCTCTCCGTACGTTTCTGCGTCCAGTTAATTGTTAGCCTTTGCTAATCCACTTTCATATTTGTTTATAATCACTGTGATCAATAATGCCAGAAACACCTGTGGCAATCTGCATGTAATTTAGCCTAGTAGGAGACAATTAGGAATATCTGAGAGCACTAGTGGGAAAGGGGATGGGGGCCAACAATGGGGAACACTGGTCCAAAAAGGGAAATTTGCAGAAAATTAGGGAGAACAAATAGAAAAGGAGCTGTAAAATCTCTGTTTTCACAATCATGTCTTTCAGATGCCTTCTTTTCTGATACAATTGGAAAGTACAGATCACTGCTATTTGCAAATCATATTCTTTCCAGGTTGGAATTCTCTTCGGAGGCAGTTGCCTTCTTTCCACAAACCAGTCGTTATCAGATCATCTTCAAATAATTGTACCTTCATTTTTATGACTGCTAAAATGTTTCCTCAGCAATTAATTAGGCCCTACATACTGACAGTCAGGGTATGTTGGGTAGTATTTTATTCTATAATGGATGCACTGTTGAGGAATCATGACTCATAACTGAAAAGGAGGTTTTTTCACATTCTGTAATTAATTTCTAAGGGTATTGCTCTCACATATTCTACCAGCACCCTTTGCCTTTTCTTAAAAGTGGAAATCAGAGCACGGGGTGTGATGCCACAAAATCACCATGCCTTTTCCCTCTTGTAAAACTGGAAGAACTCTGCCTGTTGGCAAAGGCATTAGCCATTTTGTTCTCAGAGTTTCTATAGACTGTTAAAGATCAGACTGTGGTTTCTCACGGCAAAGTTACTTTCATTCTTTCTGCTTTCTTTGTCGTCTCCCTTAGACCAAAAGTACGTAGCTTTTTGTGTTTGCCTAAACAGAAGAGTGCCTGAACTGAAGGAAAGGGGTATTCACTAAGAAGCAGAAAAGGATTCAAGATGACAGCCAAGGTCACATGGCCTGATAGGCCTCACCATATTCATTTGTTTCTTTTATCTGTTGCTTCTCTTGAGATTTTTCTTCAAATCACACGCAAATGAACTTCCATCAGTTCACCTCTCCTAGGAGGGACTGGTGTGAAATGGTTGCTAAGACCTGCTGTTGTCTATACTTGTTCTCTCCTGTTCTGTTTTGATGGTGGGACAGCAGCCTTCAATTAGATCTGTGATGTGAGCGGGTTTTGCAGTCCTTGCTCTGCTACAGCCTGATGGTTAAATGATTTCTTCAGACAGGCTTATGGCAATTTGATGACATATGAGTGCATGGAAAGGTCAAAATTTGGCTCCCAAAGTCGACAGTAATAACAGTTAATTCTTACATACTGCATTGTAGCTATAGAAGCACTTTACAAGGGAATTTCAGTATTAGTATTCCCAAGTGACAGACAGCAAAACAGATGGAGCATGACCGTGGCTGAGCCAGGAAGAGAATCTGGAGCTCTGGCTGAGTGCCCTCTCCGTGCTGCATTTTAGTATTAGTTAAGGTTAAGTTAAAGTAAAACACTGCCCAGCAAATCACTGGTGTAGAAATATTTATGGTCCACACTTCAGCGTAAGCCAGCACAGTGCCACTGGCTTTATTAGAGTTACATTTGCCTATACTGCAGACAACATAAGCCCTCGATCCTTGGCAAGTGTAGTTCATCCTTCGGCAGCAGACGGGTGCAATTCAGTAAAGTACACAAGGCAGGAAAAAGAGGCAACTTTGAGAATCAGGCAATCCCGTCTTTTTAAGAGAGGAAAATAGCCTGCAACACTACACACAGCAACAACCATTTGGCTCCAACTGGCCCTGGTCAAATCCAACATTACTGGGGGTGAAGGGGAGAACAGGATCACCCCATAGTGATTGATGGGCAATGCTACAATAAAGAATTGCCTCCTGCTAGTCTCATGGAACTTCCTTTATGCTTCTAGACAGTTTAGAGCTGTGAAAGGACATGAATGTTAGAGACCAAATCTCTTCTATAGATTGGTGAAACATACTCAGCACATTCCATAGTTAGGGGGATGTTTGTCTTCATTAACTAATGACTCAGATGTAGGAGTAGGAGATGTAGGAGAGAAAGTGGTGCAGTCCCACCATCCCCAAAGCCTTCACCTCTCTGTTTCAGAGATCTGATTGCGCTAATCATGACATTTGCTTGGAGATACTGATTTTCATGATATAACCACCCATCGCCTATGCATAGGACTGGAACCACCAACTCATTTCACACAAGCCACACCAGAAGACATAAACCCAGAAGCTAAAATAGGGCAAGAATCTGGCATTTAGATCATAATAAAGCCTGCTCTCAGAGCACAGGGGCCGACAGATTAAGAACCACTGTTCTGATCAGATAACAACAGATTCTAATCTTCAGCATGAGATTTTAGCCCAGAACAGGAGGATTGGTTAAAATATCCTGAATTAAGCACCTGAATCAGGTCCAAAATCTGATGCAACTGGCTTAACACTAATCCACCATCCCAAGTGTCATTTTTTGTGTTTCTAGCGCTTCTTTTTGTGCTGGAACTAAGACCACACGAGGGCAGTGTAGGGGGGAGTAAAATCAAGAGATATGAATTAAACTACGAACCCAAGTTTCCTGCCTCTTCATGAAATCTGGAGAGGTAGACCTGTATCTACTGAGCAGAGCGGCCTGCATTTATCCCACAAACTAGAAATGAATGTTTAACACTTCTGTTCAGCCTCCTCTTTTTTGCTGTCTTTTCTCCCTCCCCACATTCTATTTCCTCCTCGCCTGCTGTGAATATTCTCTTCGCTAGAGTTGTGCTGAAGTGCTTCAGAGGTTGAGACTTCAGTGCACTTTGCTCTGCAAACATATAGTGATTGGGCTCCTAACAGGAGGGAAACTGTAAGAGATGTGGAAAGTGATATGCCAGGCCTGCAATTTGGAGAGGTGAACATTTTGTGCTGGAGCAAAGTCTCCAGAAATGCGGTTAAATGCCCACGGATTCCCTCATCTAAACCAAAAGGCTAATTCCCCTGGGTAAGCAAACAAGAGCAATGTCCTTGTCTGAGCCAAGCATCATTTTCATATTATTTTCCGAGGCTAGGAAATATATTCTTCAGAAACTCTCAGCTAAACCCCTTTTCCCCTCAAACCCTCTGCAGGGTTCATTTCTCTAACTCACTGGGACAGTGTTTAAATGTTTTTTCAAGATGAAAGCAGCCAGAATTCTTAAAATTGTTTAGCTCAGTTTTACTGTGAACATGCTCTTAATACATGCAGTACGTACTTACATAAACTTGAGAGTATTAATTTAAGTTTGCGTTGTACATTACTGATCATTTAGCTCCACTATAATCTCAGATGGATAAGTCTCTTGGGACATTGTTGCAATTTCTTTACCTTCAGCTTTGGTTTTGTAAGCAATTGATCACTTTGAAATTGATATTGGCATCCCACATAGTCAGATGCAGTGATAAACAAAAGAGGTCTCTCAGATACTTAAGGAAACGTACCATTTTCTAATAATCACACTCAGTAGCCTATTCAAAGATGGATTTTTATCCATTACATGCTTTTGCTCCTGCTGTGCAATTCTCACTAAAGCACAGAATCATCTTCTTCTGTTTCAACATGCACTGCATAACATCCCCTGTATCATCCATGCCAGCCACAGCTGTGACACTGTATCCTTGAAGAAAGCAAGAAAATTAATGAGGTAGAACCTTTCTGTCTGAAACCCAGGTTGATTGGCTTCCACAAAATCATACTTTTCAGGGTATTCCTTCATGAAATTCTGCAAAATAGACTAACAAAATTCTCAGTCACAACCAATGGTAAGATAACAAACCCACTAACTGCTTCTGCATATCATCCAAACTTTTCCTTGATCAGTAGTTTTGCACTTGTCCCTGTATCCGATCAATTAAATCCTATATCAGGGCTTTTTTTCTTTTTTATTTCCTTCAAAATTTGTATCTTATTACATGGATCTGTTTTCCTGTACAAGACCCAGCATGTAGAAGACTACTGCGCACATTTTTATCTGCACACCAGCTTATGCACCCTTGGTCTTTTACAGGAAATCCCTCATA